CCCAAAGTTACCCTACGTTTTCAGGCATTCACTCTGGTGTAACCCCTTAAACGAAATTTTGTATTTATACCCTCAGAGAGTGTCATTAGCTAATGAGATAATTTAACTATAACACCTTCATCATTACTAAATCACCCCGATACCGAGCATACATTGAACGCCCCTCGTATAATATGTTGGCGAGGTTCATAGAATTATCAGAAATAATTGTTAGATTGACCCTTAAGAAAAAGAACTGAGCAGCTGTACCAGTAACTGATGAAGTTGAATCAGTAACTTGTGACGTTCTATCAGTGACTGATTACGAGAGTCAGTTACTGGTAATGCTTTTTAGTTGACTTGCAGTTTTAATAATCAGTTTCTACAATACACTAAAAAACTGGTTAGACACTGAGTGTTGCCATCAGTAACTCTGATGACTGGTTCTCAGTTTTTTTAACGGTTTGTCAGATACTGATTATGTTCTTCAGTTGACACCCAGTTTTAATAATCAGTTTCTACATTACTCTAAAAACTGGTTAGACACTGAGTGTTGCCATCAGTAACTGATGGCTGGTCCTTAGTTTTTTAATGGTTTCATAGATACCGATTACCTATGTTCTTCAATTGATATACAGCAGATTTCTTATTTGTCAAAGGCTAGTTTATACAACTGGTGAAAGGGAACTGAACTGACAATGACAACTGGGCACTAACTGACTGGATAACTGATTATTGTAACTGATGATAGCACGATCTGTATATTGAAACAAGTTACTGATAAAAAAGTGGTCAATATTGGTCTAGTTTTATTCAGTTTTATATTGATCAGTAACTGATAGAACTTGTATGCTGTTCAGTTGATCAACCGAATCAACCGTTTCTTTTATCAGTAACTTGTTTCAATATACTGATCGTGCTGTCATCAGTTTCAATAATCAGTTATCCACCAGTTAGTGCTCAGTTTTTCTATCAGTTTTGGCTGCATTTTTTCTGAAGGGGAACGAACTTACCTGAAGTGAAGTTCGATCATAATTATGCCCTTTGTCTCGTCCGGATGGAAACTATGTAGTCGTGCTTCCGCACGCCCCTTCGACAACAGAATTCAAAGTACCGCCAAAAAGAAAAGCTCGCACAGGCGTGGGCCTCACGCCGGCGCCGCCGCGGCGAGCGTCCCGCTGCCTCATAAGTTCCAATCGTTTCGGCAAGTCGCCACTATTAGGGATGGGAGATAGAAAATGGGTGGGTGTCCATCCGGACAAGACAAAGGGCATAATTATGATCGAACTTCACTTCAGGTAAGTTCGTTCAATCTAACAATTATGCCTCTATATGTCTCGTCCTGATGGAAACTATGTAGCTGTTTATAGCCTGGCGATTTGCCAGTGGGAGTAATGTATAAATAAAAACCCGAGGAGCTGTGAGCGAGTCTTATATTATTACTTAAGGATAACAGATAACTGTAAGAGTATAAAGTATCTTATATGTATAAATGTACGGACAGGATGCTGTCTTGTACAGAAGATAAAAATTGCACGCTTAAGAGCCGAATGGACTGAGAAATAAAATATATTTTTATGGGTGATAATATCAAACTTGGGTATTATGAATATCGATCTTCCTAGCGGAAGAAATTAAGGAAGCAACACCGCGTTGCTAAATTCTTCCGGGTTAAGAAGCGACCTGTTATAGAAATGAGCAAAGACCCGGGACTCGCCGGTCCAACCTGCCTGCGGCGCGTTTAATAATATCGGAAGGGACTCTCTTTGAGGCTGCCTGAGATGTTGAGACGTGTCGCGTGCTATGTGCAGAAAAAATAGAAGTATTTATGCCACATTCTTCCAGAGCCAGGCGAATCCAACGACCGATAGTTTGTGACGAAACCGCTTTATGCGGTTTGGAAAAAGAAATGAACAAAAAATCGCATTTAGAAGGACGTAACTTCCTGGTAAGTCCTATATAGTGTTCCATGAAACGAACAACACAAAGATTCTCATGGTTTGCAAAACGTGAAAAAAGGAAAACTGGTTGGGAACGACCCGGTGCTGAAGTTTTTATTCGATCCGGAACGCGAATGATTAACTTCTCATCCAACGAGATCTGCGAGATTCTTAATAAGCTAAGCGTTTGTGCTCTATGACCAGTAGCTAGGGCTAAGAGAAGTATCAATTTCTTGGTGATATCTTTCAAGGAAACTCCTTCATATGGATAAATAGAAGGTAGTTTAGCTATCACAGGAGCGGGATCCCAGACAAAATTATACCGCGGACGGGGAGGTCTGAGTACCGAAACGCCTTTACAGAAACGTTTAATCATAGGATGATTACCGATTTCGTTCTGTGAAATTAAGGAGATCGCTGATCTCGTCGTATTCAGGCATGAATAGGAGATCTTGGGTAGTTCCTGAGCTAAAAATTGTAAGATCTGAGCAACCGACGGTGAGTAGAGCGGTGTCCTATGACGCTGGCAAAAATGCCACCAGGCGCGAAGCGAGTAGGAATATTGTTTGATGGTCGATTCCGATAGGGAGGCTAGTAAGGCTGGAACTGCTGTATCTGGCACTAGGCGAGCCCTGAATACCTCCCTGATGACCTCGCGACCCCCAGGGAAAGTGTCCTCCATGATGGGTGGCAGTTCCTGAAAGGTGATGATAAAAGAGAATAGTTAGGAGGTAGAATTAATGGTTTATAAATTAAGAGACGATTAAACAGCGGAAACCAGGGCTGTGAGGGCCACCAAGGCACTACCAGTATTCCCGTTGCTTTGTCATCAATAATGTTTCTGAGAACGCGTGATATTAAAATGAAAGGTGGGAAAGAATAGAAGTTTAGTTTCTCCCACGAGAAAGTAAACGCGTCTACAGTAACTGAACCCGGGTCGGGAAACCAAGAAGCGTACAAATCACATTTGGCATTTATTGAAGACGCAAACAAGTCTATATCAAAAGGACCAAAGGCTCTTGCCACCAGACGAAATGCGATGGCCGACAAAGACCATTCTGTATCAGGATCCGAGGTTCTAGACTCGGCATCTGCAATATGGTTTTCTAAAGATGGTATGTAAGAGGCGAACAAGAATATATTACGGTTCTCGCACCAACGCCAAATTTGTCGAGAAATCTCAGAGAGATGAGGAAATTGAATAGAACCAAACTTATTAATGTAGGCTACCGCCGTGGTATTGTCAATGCGGAGTAAGATGCTGCAGTCGTGAAGATCCGCTGCGAAGCAAAGCAGGCCGTTAAAGGCGCTTTAAGCTCTAATGAGTTTATGTGAAGGGACTTTTCACACTCAGACCACCAGCCATGAGTGCGCCCCTCACGGCAAGAAGCCCCCCAGCCGCTCAAAGACGCATTCGTGAAGATTTCTCGCACGAATCTGCCAGAACGGATTTTATTCGCCTGCCTGGAATTGGAAAAGATGTTGATCCACCATTTGAAATCTTCCTGGAGGTGTGGAGAGATATCCATTCTTGCTGAGTAGTCCTCCTTGTTTCTGACAAGAGCTAAGAACTTTTCTCTTTCGAATCTCTTTGTATAAAGCAGTTCGTATTGAACTGCAGGGCAGACTGAGACGAGAGACCCAATAAAACTGGCAAATTCTCGAATAGAAGACCTTGTCTTACGGGCTAACGATGTTGTTAGCTCTAATAATTTTGTCCGACGTGCAGGGGGGATCGCAATGGATTGTTCCATTGAATTGAAAATGAAGCCTAAATATTGGCATCTGTTTGATGGTACTAACTGCGATTTAGCTAAATTCACCACAAACCCCAAAGAATGAAGAAGGTTAACCGAAGCATAAACGTTGGCTCGACATTCTTCGCTGGACGAGCCTAACAGGAGGAAATCGTCTAAATAAATTACTGATTGGTAGCCTCTTTTACGGAGACAGGCAAATACAGGCCCAAGAATCTTCGTGAATATGTAAGGCGCTGTGGACAGGCCAAAAGGCAGAGCCGTGAACTCAAAAGTCTTATTGCGCTATTGGAAACGAAGAAACTTTCTATGTCCCTCAAAAACTGGGACTAACAGATAGGCATATTCCAGATCGAGGGTTGCCATGTGCGTTCCCGGAAGCATGAGGCGAATCACGGTGCGCCAATCCTCTAATTTGAAGTGTGGAAGCTCAATGTGAGAATTGAGGTCACGCAGATTCAAGATGAAACGTTTACCTCCTGATGACTTATCTATCAAGAAGAAAGATGAAAGGAATTGATCGTTGCTAGGTTGCTAGGTTCAACCGGTACGATGGCCCCTTTTTTCTTCAGGCGTTTTATCTCCCTATCGCAAGCTAGCGCAGCTGATAGTGATAGGTTGGGCTCAGCCAGACGAGCCCTTGATGGAGGCGAGCTAGAGAAAGGGATGTGGTAACCTCTTGTAGCACTCAAAACTACAGGGTCAGAGGTGATACTTCACCAAGATTCGTAAAATTTCTGCAGACAACCGGCCGAACTTACGTTGCTTAATGGTGCCGGCGAGATCTAGATTGAGGCCGGGAGCGGTAGAGTAGGCTCTGATGATAGTGAGCCCCTGTTCGGCGAGCCGACGATGGCTTCCCGGCTTCCCGGAATCCTAGGTGTTTGCTGGTGAACTCAATGTTGAGCTGCCTGGTAAACCGGTTGTAACGTCTTTCCTACCGGAGGGGCTGATTTGGAAACATCCCGGCCCGTCTTTTCGCAGACCTAGGCTGCCCTAAGCGTTTCGGCAAAGTTTTGCCCGAATAGAAACTCGTCGATCGGAGCTGACTCCGCGGCGTTCTTGCCAAGGATGTTGAGAGAGGGCTTGGTGAAAGCTCTCCTCGTCAGTGAGAGACGGTAGTGGTGATCCGCTACCAGATGAATGCCCTCTGAGAAATTTGTCAGAGCCGATCTTGTTTCGTCCTTAAGATCTTGCAAGATTTCCGGTTTCAGCAAGAGCGAAATGCCCGAGCCGAGGGCATTCAGGCAAGCAGCCACCTGAGCCTGTGAAGACGATTGATATTCGTCCCGTTTAATGACCGACTGGGTCAGTGCCGTGACTAGCTCCTTGTTCAGCTTTGGTGGGGCCAGCGCTGTTAGCTCGCCCTTAGGCTCATATTTCGACAGCAGAGTAGAGCGCATCTGCGTAATGAGACCGCTTCGCGACTCCATTTGTAACGAAGCGCTATTTCCTCCCGGTACTGTATTCCGGACAGGACTCCGAAATACTTTATTACTCCGCGGAACTTAATCAGACTCGCGGTTCTGGATTATCGGTGGAGGAGCTAGCGTTCTTTCGGTCGGTGTTTGACGTGCTGTGTGTCGGTTTAATTAAATCCCCCGTTCCTCCTATGTGCCGAATATGCTCAGCTCCAGGGCCGTCTGGAGGAAAGGAGGCGTAGATCTTAATTCGCTCAGTGAGGGAATCGCCAGGAAGGATCGGGAATAAATCGTACAAATATCTAATTTGGTGGAAAACGATAGGAACAAGGTTTATTCATAGATTAATACAATGGAATTGAGGTAATTATAACAGGTCCGCCCTGCGATCAAATACAATGGAAAGAAAAGGATTAGTAGGTACAATGGGTCCGCCCTGTAATTAAATACAATGGAAACACAAGGGATTATGATTAACGGAATTGCAATAATGCACCGGAGTACGCGGTCGGATCGGAATACAGGATACAAGATAACGCGGCCGGTCGGAGTAATCGGAAAGGAATACAAATGTCGCTGGATCAAAGAATATAAAAAAAAGTGATATAATGTAGGAATAATACGCAAATGGATCGGAATAGGCTATCGCTAAAACTGCTAAC